GACCAGTTCGTCTCTGTATTGAAATACCAGTTTTCAGTTTTTTTCGATTACCGTCACATGATAACATACAAGTACATGATAAATTGTCGATACTTGATAAGTTGCAGTTGCTCAATAAGCTAAACTAGTACTTGTTGTTCGAATCTTTATGCAGTGATACTTGTTCTAATAAGTTGCTTATTTTATTTCTTTTGTGCCCTAAATTCATGAAAGAAATGTCGAATAACTTGTTATATAACTGTAAATAATATAAAAAATATTAAAAATTAATTTTAAACAAATTTCTTTACACATTAGTTATTCTTTCACAATGCAGTCATTTTGACTGCTTTTGGGCAATATAGGTATATACTAAATTTCAGTCTTTCTAGTGTTAATAAAGTTTTTGAAGGAATCTTTGGATTCCTGTTGTCAAGCCACCCAAAAGTTACGCTGGCAGAGAAGGGTGAGGGTATGCTAAGCACACTGGAAGGATTCGTGTTTTAAGAGGATCTTGGAGCAGCTTCCCTTTTGGATGTCCCATGTCTGAAAACAGCATCCTCGTGTACAGCGCTTTAAGCCGGGGGCGCCGAGCCAGTCTGAGTTCATTTCTGACTACGTCCTTCCAGCCGAGTGACCTGTTTAGTTTCTTTACCTAGCAGTGTGAGATAATAATGACACCTGCTTGTTAAATAAGTAATAACGTAGGAAAAGACTTAGAAATGTTTCCGGGGACTTCAGAGCCTGCTCCGCGCCCCTATCACCCACCCTGTGGTGGTAGCGAGTATGCAGGTTCCATTGGCAGATTTCAGTCCGGGTGGGTGAAGGCATCAGGGTCTGAGCTTAGAAGATCTGAGCCTGTTGTTGATCATTGCTTCACATGTCTGTTAAATGACAATAAGCATTCTCTTTTTCTATTTCCACCCAGCCAAGTTAGCGAGACGCAGCCAGGAGCGAGACAATCTTGGCATGCTGGTCTGGTCGCCTAATCAGAATCTCTCAGAAGCAAAACGTAAGTTTTAAAGCACCTTTATTTTCCACCGTCTTTTTTTTTTTTAATATATTTTATTGATTTTTTTACAGAGAGGGAGGGAGAGCGATAGAGTTAGAAACATTGATGAGAGAGAAACATTGATCAGCTGCCTCCTGCACACTCCCTACTGGGAATGTGCCCGCAACCAAGGTACATGCCCTTGACCAGAATCGAACCTGGGACCCTTCAGTCCGCAGGCCGACGCTCCATCCAGTGAGCCAAACCAGCTAGGGCTCCACCGTCTTTCTTAATGCAAAGTTTTAAATAAGTTTTGTAGCTGAAAGTCCCTACATGTATGACAGTTCTCTTACATTTTTAAAATAATTTCAAGAGTTTGAAAGTATATATCTACTGTGGCCTGTCATGATGATTGAAAGATTTCTAACCTGTGGTTTCACAATCTGCTTTTTTCAAAATGCTGTACAAGCTAATACTGAGGTAATAAGGAGGAAAGGCCTAGAGGGGAGGGAACATCATAATGCAATGTGTAACTCCATCAGCTGGGAGTTTACAGGGTTATAAAGATGAAGAGTTGAACAGGTTTCCAATTTGAAAGATTACAAAGATCAAATGTGAGATTTTGGAACGGGCATCGTAATACAAGACTTAAGCCTAGCTAGAAGTAAAACTTTGGAATTTGCTGTTTGTTTCATGTGTTTAAAATCTGACTAGGATGGATATTCTGGGCTACTTTGGATTTGTGTTGGAGCGGGGGCAGGTAGGGGACCTAAAGCTATTAGTAATATTAGTTGTATTTTCAGAGTTTGCTTTTTCAAATTTTTTGTCCCTTTTGCTCAAATGATACCATTCAAAAATAATTTTATATCTGATATATTACCGTACCTTTGCCATTTTCAAAGTTTTTATTTTCTTCATAACTTAAAAGAGAGAAGAAAAACTAAATTTCCACCCTAGTTGGTTTGGCTCAGGGGATAGGGCATCAGCCTGTGGACTGAAGGGTACTTGGTTCGATTCCTGGTCAGGGCAAATGCCTGGGTTGCAGGCTTGAGCCCCAGTAGGGGGCATGCAGGAAGGCAGCCATTCAGTGATTCTCTCTCATCATTGATATTTCTATCTCTCTTTCCTTCTCCCTTCCTTTCTGAAATAAATAAAAAAATATATTAAAACAAAAAGAAAAACTAAATTTCCTTTGAGAATTTTTTAGTGGGGGTCTGGATGGAATTAATGGGAACTTGGAAATCACATGCAAAATTTTTCTGGAGAAATGGCATTGGATTTTCAAAAGGGTCTTTGACCAATAAAAAAGGCTAATAGTCAATTTTATAAAACAGGACAGGGCTTTAAAAAGCAATCAGTGATGAATGCTCATCAGAAAACTGTTAAGCTGTGAGCAGAGGCTGGACTCTTAGGCTTTGACGAGGGTTTCCCACATTATGTTCTGCATCATTAAATCGTGTGAACACAGTACTGCCAAGCAGTGTGACAGTGAGTGCTGCATGTTAAATGCCCCCCTCTTGTACTCAGGATCTGTAATAGCATGTAAGATGCAAAGAGCTTTTATGGTAAAGAAACATGTTTAATTTTGGTCAAGAGGGATCCTTTTTGGTATAATATCCCCCCTGGAACATGGGAAACTGAACTGCTCTTACTAATGCTAAATTTAGCAATAATAATAAAAGTATAATATGCTAATTACACTGGACAGCCGAACAACCTTTTGGACGTTCTTCCAGATGAAGCCATGGTGGCGAGGGCCAAGGCAGAGGCGGTTAGGGGCGATCAGGCAGGCAGGCAGGCAGGCTAGTGGTTAGGAACCAGTGGTCCCTGATTGTGAGAGAGTGTAGGCTGGGCTGACAGACACCTCCCCACCCTGCATGAATTTCGTGCACTGGGCATCTAGTCAGTCAGTCAGTCTCTCTCTCTCTCTCTCTCTCTCTCTAAATATATATATACTAGTGGCCCGGGG